TTTCGTGTCTGCAGATGCCTGGCCAAGGAGCGGCAGGAAAAATGGTGGGCTTGGGGGAGGGAGGGGAGAGGACTGGGAGCCCCCTAGAGGGCGCCCTAGTCGCTTGGATGGGAAAAATGAAATTAAACCTTTGAATATCCAGGGCTCTGAATGGTAAAAGGTGCATAGTAGGGCCTCTGTCCTCGGTGCTGATCTGTCCAGGAAGCATTCAGTCCCTTCTCTCGCCTTTGTGTCCTAGGAGTAATGAAGTCCAAAGAGAAACAAGCGAGAAAAAATCTCAACGTGGAAAATAACCTCCAGGAAAATGAAGGAGGGGAGCAGGCCCCTGTGAAGAATGGAGAGGAGGCCCGCCCTTTGGGAGGGGGTGAAGGCCGGGAGCCTGGAGGAAATGTCAAGCGGGGGCGGGTTTGGCGACTTGCCCCTGATTTTCGATGGGGCATACCTAATAGGCATACTGATCACAGTGAAGTGGGAGATGATGTAGAAAGGTTCACAGAGCAGATGATGGAAATCAGGAGAAAGATTAGGGAGCAGCAGGTGAGGCATTATATGTGCCCCCAAATCCCTGAACCTGACAATCATGATGACTTTTGCCTTATACCTTGAATACTACGTACGGTTTTCCCTGAGGTTAATAATGTGGCTTCTGCTTTACAACTTGTGTTGCTGTGATTTAGTTTTGCTGTCAACCTTTTGGTGTTTCCACTTACCAGTTTCTAATTGAATATTGTGTCAGTCTGCAAGTGTCTGTCTGCAGGGCAATTTCACCCGTTTTTAGGAAAAGATATAAATTTCATATTGTGAAATTAATAGTTTAAAAGGCAGTCTATATCCCATCATCTTCCTCTTCCATTCCAGTTCTTATTTTTTGTTAATGTTGCCTTTCTTCTCCCTGTTACATGGACTCAAAATCTCAGTTGTCTTTGACTATTTTTTGCTTGTCTCCAACCAGTCAGTAAGGAAGTTTCTACTCATAATTCAACATCTGATAATCATTTTAAGAATGTATGTCCTAGTGTTTTTAAAGAGTGCTAGTCCACCATCTGCATAAAAACACCAACATCTGGGGACCTTTTTGAGAATGTACCTCTGGCACCCATCCTCTAGACTCACAGAGTGGGACTCCAGAATTTCCATTTTTAACAAGTTCCCCAGGAAATTCTGATGTACATCAAATTCTGAGAACCACTGGTGTGTATATATATCAGTATACATATGTGTGTAGATTGTGTCCTATTAAGTGTAAATAATAAAGTAAGTAGAATAGCAAGAATGAATATCTAAATTCAATGGGCAAAACATTCAACAGGAAAAGTATAAGACGTTCAAATAGACTGCCCATAGGAGTGGTTGGGATAGTGACAAACTGGAGGGTGTACACTGTGCAGGACGGTGTGTCGGAAGGCCACATACAGTCAGAGGGATCTAGAGTTCATGGCCCATGTCAGCACTATGCCCTGCATCTCATTTTATCCTTATCACAATCTGTAAGGGCTGTATTCTCCCCCTTTACAGATGAGTGCACTGGGGTTTAGAGATGTTAAAAGTACGTGGACTACCTCCTGCTGTGTACCTTGGGAGGAGGAATCAGGCCTACCTCATTTTCTGTGGGACCTTGTCATCTGCAGATGCAGAATACCTGACTTTTATAACTGTGGACAAGCTGAGGAAGGTCAAAGACTGCAAGATTGAGGCTGAGAATGAATTAACTGTGTTTTTCTATATTTCCAGTACTGGCGGGGGATGGGGGGCACCCGATGCTTTTGAGTCGATTCTGACTCATAGTGACCCTATAGGAGGACAGAGTAGAACTGCCCCATAGGGTTTCCAAGGAGCACCTGTTGGATTTGAACTGCCTACTTTTGGGTTAGCAGCTGAGCTCTTAACCACTGCACCACTAGGGCTCCATTTCCAGTGCAGGCACTTCCATTTTTTGAACATTAGAGCAGATAAAACTCTTAAAGACCCTCCAGTCTAGTGTTCTTCAAAATTCTGGTCACCACCCATTATGGTTTGTGAAATTAATTCTGTGGGTCATAACTAGCAATTAAAACAACAACGAAAACATGTCAGAGTCCATCACCCATGGGTAGTGTTAATAAATCTTTTGAGAAACTTGTTTAAGTTTTAAACATGGTTTCCGTAGAAAATATATTTCTCACTGTGGGTCACAGTCAAAAATTTGAAAGTCACTTCTTCAGTCCAAACTTCTTTTCACAGATAAGGAACAGGAGTAGGAAAGTGATTTTCCCAAGGTCACATGGCCAGTTAGTGGCAGAGCTGGGACCACCTAGCTCGGGGTGCTTGTCTCCTCACCACAGTGCCTCCACATGGCATTATTTGGAAATTTTGACAGCATGCACTGATTGCCAGTTGATGTATATGAACAAACTTGTCCAGCTTATTTTTACAAAATCTCTGAGATTGTTTATTTGATGTTTATATTATTTAATCATCTGAATCCCTGCATGTTCAACTGGGAAACATATTTAAGGATAACTCTGTGCCCCTTATGAAATTTGGAGCTGCAATGATCTCTCACCTGTCTAGAGGAAGGGGATGATGGAGAGTCTGATCTGAAAATGCATGGTGGGAACTCAGGCACTTCATAAAGGCCAGCTGGTTGAGTGACGTTTATGAATGACCTTTTGGCTCCTGGGTTATGGAATGACTTCTTAAACCTGCCAGAAGCAGGGTTCAGTCTGTTGTCCCTGTCTTTATGTTCCTCTAAGGGTATTTGTGTAATCTAGCACCTCATGCTTGCATATCACCAAATTTGTCAGCTTTGATGCTAGATTCTTATTCAGCCTCCTTTTCTTCTGGAGGGATGACTAGATCTCTCTGCCGCTTCTCAACTTTTTATTTTGAAAAAAAGTTAAACCTACAAGAAGTTTGAAGAGTAATAAACACACACACACTCAATCCCTTCATCTAGATTAGATTCACCAATTAATATTTTGCCAATTGCCTTATTTCTGTCTTGAGATTATATATATATATATGTATATATTTCTTTTATTGCTGAACTATTTTAAAGCCAGGAGCCGTGGTGGCGCAGTGGTTAAAGCACTCGGCCGCTAACTGAAGATTTGGAGGTTCAAACCCAGCTGCTCCGTGGGAGAAAGATGTGGCAGTCTGCTCCTGTAAAGATTTACAGCCTTGGAAACCCTGTGGGGGCAGTTCTGCTCTGTTCTGTAAGGTCTCTATGAGTCATAATCAACTTGACGGCAACAAGTATTTTAAAGTTTATTGTAGGTATCATAATACTGAAGCATTTTATCTCCTAACAGCAAGGTCACTCTCCTAAACAACCACAATACGATGATTACATTCAGGAAATTTAGTACTGATATAATACTATTAACCAATGTACAGTACTCATTCAAACGTTGCATTTAGTTGGTATGTCATTTAATCTAGAACAGTTTTCTAGCTTTCTTCTTTCTTTCATGGCATTGATACTTTGGTGAGGATATGGAGCAACTGAAAGTCTCATACATTGCTGGTATGAGTATAAAATGCTACAGCCACTTTGAAAACCTGGTAATTTTCTAAAAAATTAAATATTCACCTTTCCTATGACCCAGCAGTTCTTGTCGTAGGTATTTACCCAAGAGA